TTTTTTTTTTTTGTCCAGAAATTTTTGCACCCCCGGCACCGGTCCAGACTGTCCAGGTCCGGTGATGTCCCGGTGTCCAGACTGGTCCAGACTGGTCCAGACAGTGGTCCGGAAGACAGTCCGGAAGTGTTCGGTGTCCGGGTCCGGGGTTACCATGGTATACCTTCTTTCTTTTTTGTTTTTTTGCTTTCCTTTTCCCCCCCCCTTCTGTAAACATGGCCTTATGTGCRAGGAAGATTAGCATCATACATATGAGTCCAGATAGTCTTGACCTCGAACCAACAGCAGAATTGCATCACGAGATTCACCAAATAAGAACACACCAAGAGTTCATAATTGACAATGCTGAAATAATCCCATCATCATCAACAAAGAACCAGAGTTGATATCTCTGGCGCTCGGCGCCCAGACTACATTTGGCAGATCCTATCTAGCCTAATACTACGATGCCGAAGTTGACGACAACCGCTCTCCTGAAGTACGAGCATACAGCGACCGATGTCGCACGCTTCCAGCACCAGTTATGTCTCTCGCTACACTGACAACCTCGTTCCCCAACACACAGATGCCGCTTGCACCCAAGGACCACCCTGCGCCACACCCAGCTGACAGCGGAGCAGCTCGGCTATGGGTGCCCGCTCCTTCCTTGCTCGCCCGTGAGAGCGTGAGCGCCAGCCAGCAAATAGGGCAGCAGCGCAGCACGCGAATGCCGAATGAGGAGGCAGGCCCTTTGCTATATCGAAGTGGCCTGCCTGCGTCCAGTGCCAGGAAGCTTCCAGTAGGCCCCGGTAGCCTGAGGCCCAGCACGATCGAGAACAGGCCTGGGGCCTGAGGTGGTTGCATGCGCCCAACTGCCTTTGTCATGTCTTCGGCCCAGTACCCATATCCAGCCCAGGGCCTGCTTTCCATACATTCATTCACACAGGCGGCCCAGGGYCTGGATTCTTTCAACCAACTGACGCTGCGCAACTGCCTGAATTTCCTTAGTTGCGCAGTGACCAAAGTAGGGCCCTGAGGGCCTCGTCGAGCCTGCCTTCACTCAGGGCGGCT